GCTGGTGGTCGATTTTGAAGAACGCACTTCATTCTACAAAACAAGACGCTTTCCAGGATTCTACGATATTCCTTCCAAATATTATAGGATAGACGAAAAGAGAAAAAACGGTAACGCACAGACACTCCGGTAGCAGAGTTAGGCGTTTTTCATGTATATGCATACCTTTCGATTTCGTTCGTCCATACATTGATCGATAGAGGGTATCGTTTAAGAGAGGTCACAAGCTTTTCCCTAATGTGTTCATTGATCAAGTAGTTATGAATCTCAGCTGGCTGGCTATTCTGATCAACGAAACTTCATCAAGCCTTAGTATAAGAGAGAAAGTAAGCAAATCTGTTCAAGACTATTAGTCTTCACGTTATGATGCAACTTTTTCAATAACATATACTGAAAAACAATTGTTCCAAATTATTTCATCTTAAAATTTAAACATCAAATTTTCTTTTCTTTTTATCCTTTTCTCTATATTAATGTATGGTTTTATCAAGCTTCTTAAATACATTAACTTGGTTACGTTTACAATATCTCCAAGTCAGTTACATAGCACAATCACAACAGCATCCGATGGCAATATATTCTCTTTAACTGTAAGACCGTTAGAAAAATCATGATCGTCCAGAGGCAAAATCTCAGAAAACAATTACTCTAGTTTTCTGCTGGTAATCTGAGTAATTGCGTATAACTGAAATCCTAAATATTTAGTCTTAAGTTGTAGAAAGATATTCTGATAACGAGCATAATATCGGTTAGTATGAAAAATTTACCTTTGCGCTTCATCATGAAACATATCTGCATTTTGATTATTATCCTTCGTTCTCTAATATCGATATTGTCTCTGTTTGTTGTAACCATTTTTTATTCTCTGTACACAAGTGATTTCTCTAGGTGAATAATATCTTCCTCTATTTTGTTGTTGCCATACTGAAAATGACGCTTAAAACAATAGAATTTCAAATTTATTAGCACATTATAGTCTTTTAGTTCCTCTTCTTCTCTTTATGACGAGTTATGTAAAAATGAGATTGAGTTATTTATTTTTATAGATGTTACACAATGGTCATGCTATAATAATTTCATTCATGTACTTGTGTAATGATTTTAATATAAAATTTGATAGACTCCTTTTCACTATAATTTTTTAGAAACCTGGAATCTACACGATCAATGTATAATCAAATCGATATTCTAAAACTCTTTTGTAATAAGAAAACATCCTGCAGATAATGAAAAAGCATATGAGATGCTTCAACTTTTATTTTTCCATTTTGTTTTCCTCTTCCATATTCTGTTGTTCCTTGACGCTTCAATTCCTTTTCAACTAATCAAACTACCTCTTTATTTTTTTTTCTTTCTAAAAAAAAAAATACAAACGTGACAAAAGTAATCATTAACATAAAATGTCCACGTAGGGGAAAAAGGAAAGAGAAAAGTGAACAAATTTGAGTCATATGTGTGTACAAATCAAGTGTAAACCCATGAGAGAAAAAAGGTAAATTTACTTTCATTGCGATGTGATACTTATGTAACTGGCGTTTCGCCTCTCATAATACCTCTTCTGATACGAAAAAGCTCATGTTATTCATTTCAAATTACTATGAGAATTTTATTATTATAATTTTTTAAAGTAAACGTTCTATTTTTCATTCATAATGTTTAACATCTACCATATATAATGTTGACACTTATAAAATTTCGCTTATACCTACTAAAGAATGGCGTGTAGTATATTTCTCGTCACGTTTATTCTAGTACAACTGGTTGAGAAATGAGTAATAGCCTAATACAAAACATCCTTCAATCATTTACGCGACGAAAACGAGTATCGGCAGCTAGTTCACTTGAATCAAAATTACGGCGATGTTTAACTATTTTCGATTTAGTTACTCTCGGTATCGGTAGCACATTGGGAGCGGGTAAGAATACTTAATTTTATTCAACGACGTAATAAAGAAATAGTGCATCAATTTTTTCAGCTCATTTTTTTCCCACTTACATACAGTGTCAGTAGATCATACTTGTTTTAGGCAATAGATAGTTTCTCTATTCGAGAATTTAAATACGATGCTATATTATTTGAAAAATAGTGCCAATATGGACGAACACATAAGAAGTATAGTTGCAATGAAAGGAACAGCTTGTATTCTAATTTGTATTCCATCAAATTGATTATTTAATTTTTTGTTTCTATTAACTATTCATCACAGATACTTTTCAGTAAAAATTCTGTCTCCATTAAAAAATAGAATTTTATCGGTCTCAATTTGGAAATGAAAGTTTTATATTAGAAAAAGCGGTCTCAATTTGGAATGCATATATTTTCTCGTTTCTTATACAAATAAAATGTGGTCCCAATTTGGAATAGAGCGTTTGATCTTTTCACATACTTTGTATACTGTTTATAGCTTCGAATCTCTTTTTAATTAGGAATGATTGGCTACTGTACAGACACAAAAAAAAGTAGGACAGTTATATTTTAGGTTCATACTCGTCATCATCTTTAGAATTAGAATCATTATCTAACACAACTATATAACGGTAGCCATGGTTGTCTAATAGAATCAAATACTGGAATCATGGCACCATTTACATTCTCCCTTCGCTAAAAAAAGTGTAACAACTCTTTAAATTAATGAAATTAAATTAATTTGATTAATGAAAACCCACAAAGTACTAATTTTTCCACTTGTTGATCATAAATTTGAGGTATTGGAGTTGTTGGTTCTTCTAAAACACGTTTTCTGGTTGAACTAACACAATTTAAAACATCACCGCTAATTTCGGATCATGCATTGAATAATGAGTGCCATTATCATCAATACCACTACTATCAATTATGACATCATCTTTTATTGTTATTGAACACGAACAACAATTACGAGTACAGACTCATTTTTTAGTTCCGTTTTTATTTGAATGTTTTAACCAATATAAGTAACTTTTATATAATATACCATTCTGGTTTTTTTCAGTTTTGATACAAGAAAAATGTAGAGTTGTAGACATCATAGGATTCGTAGAAAACTTCGAATTGAAATATTGTGTATCAAGGTAATGCTCTTCATTTTTATAGTCTCACCCGATCCAGTAATGTCGCTCTCAGCTCAGTTTAGTTTTAAGCATCAGTTTTGAAAAATATTTCAATCAGTTTCTGTCTGTATAGTAGCCAATCATTCCTAATTAAAAAGAGATTCGAAACTATAAACAGTGTACAAAGTATGTGAAAAGATCAAACGCTCTATTCCAAATTGGGACCACATTTTATTTGTATAGCGAGAAAATATATGCATTCCAAATTGAGACCGCTTTTTCTAATATAAAATTTTCATTTCCAAATTGAGACCATTTTTTAAATCTAATTAATAATCATCAGAAAAAAGTGGTCTCAATCATGAAGCCTCGAATAGATTATCTCAAAATGATCGATCATTTATGTTTATTCTGATCTTTTATTTCATAGTCTGGAATTTCAAGGATCATTTCTTGATATAAAAGATGAGAAATGATCTGCTCTACTGTATTGCATATTTTAATTCGAAAAAATGAGACGTGTCCAATCTTCTAGGAATTTATATATTAGCTGGGGATGTGGCAAAGTTCTCTTCAGGTGGTGGCGTTATATTATCTTTTCTATTTGCTGGAATTGCATCGATGTTGGCTGGTCTGTCGTATGCTGAGGTAAAAATGAAAAGATTATTTGAACCAATCACGTCTTAATAAGAGATATTTTAATTTAGCTCGCGGCTCGGTTTCCAAGGGCCGGCTCCGCATTCAATTATACTTACACAGTCATTGGCGAACTAGCTGCATTTGTGGTACTAGTTTGTTTTACTTCTTCTTCCATCATAATATTTATACTGTTTATTCGCTAGACAGGATGGAATCTTATACTCGAATATGTTGTTGGAGCGGCATCGACTGCTCGTGCATGGTCTAGCTCAGTGGACGCTGTTATGGGATTTAGAATGAGCAGCATGTTTCAAGAGTATTTTCCAGTACATATGCCACCATTTGCACCTTATCTTGATATCACCGCATTTACTTTAACAATTATTGCCACAATTATCTTGGCCACCGGTGTCAAAGAATCGAGTAAAATGAATAATATTTGTACGGCTATAAATTTGATTTGTGTGGCAATTATTATGTAAGTTCATTTAACTACTAATTTCTCTATAACAAGATGAAGTTACATTTTAGTATTATTGGATCTTCTAAAGTTAATTTCAAGAACTGGAAACTCACTAGAGAACAAGTACGAACTAATGCAACATTTAATGCTGGCAATGGAGGTTTTATACCTTATGGGATTAGCGGAGTGCTAAGTGGTGCGGCAACATGTTTCTATGCATTTGTTGGTAAGTATTTAGTTAAACTTGTGTACAACTTTACATAATATAGTTGTGTTTGGTGGCATAGTGGAGAAAGAAATGTAGCTATAATATAAATTTTTGCGAAAAAAGCAAAAATTATTTTAGAGAAAGGAAAAGGCTTATTTTGTTCGATTTTTTTGATCAGAAGAAATTTGCTCGAATGAAGTTTTCTCGAGCAGAATTTCCTCGAATAGAAACCTTCTCGAATTTTCTAAACAGAAATTATCAATATTATTTGCAGTGTATAGAACATGTTAAATATGAACACAAAAAATTATTTCAGCTACAGATAAATACCAACAAGACATCTGAATCTACCTCAGTTATCTATCAATGAAACTGCGTTATTTGAAACACAAAATTTATAAATTGATATTACGAGCTATAGTAGCTATTTGTCGTTTTATATTGGGATGAAGATATGTAACTCAGCAAGGGTTTTGACTTAGAAGTTGTAGAATAATATTGATCATTTCTGTTTGTGAAATTCGAGGTTTCCATTCGAGGAAATTCTGTTTGAGAAAACTTCATTCGAGCAAATTATTTTCGAGAGTATCCCTTACGAGAAAATTTCATCCGAGCAAATGTCCCAAACCCGTTTTATCCTCGAAACTGATAAGCAAGAAAAAGGTCACTTTGAGATTATTTGAAGAAGTATAAACCACTCACAAAAGAAACTTGGGAGAAAACAACAAATGAAAGAGCAAGTGTGATCTCACCACACCTATACTGTACTAGTAGTTGGTTTTTTCATTTTTGTATAGGATTTGACTTAGTGGCAACAACTGGAGAAGAAACGCAAGATCCTCGAAAGGCTATACCCCTTAGTATCTGTCTTGTACTCTTGGTTTGTTGTGGTGTCTATTGTGGCATTGCAGCGGTTCTCACCTTGATGGTTCCTTATTATTCAATTAGAGTTGAAGGTTCTTTGCCAGATGCATTTAATCGCGTTGGACTACCATCTGTCACTTGGATAAGTATGTATGTTACTATTTCTTTCCAATTATTAGTACAAATTAATGCCGATTGTTTTAGTTACTTTTGGAGCGGTGACCGGACTTACAGCCTCACTCATAGGATCATTATTCCCTTTACCAAGAGTATGCTATGCCATGGCACTCGACGGTCTACTATTTTCAATATTTGGTGAAGTAAATGAAAATCGTATACCAATATATGGCACAATATGCGGAGGATTATTGTCAGCTATAATGGCATTAATATTCGACATGAGTAAGCTATTTGCTTAATAAAAGGTCGTTTGTTGTTATCACCAGAAATTTTGTATGATGAATAGAAACATCATATCTAGAAATTATTCTTGAAAAATTTTATTCGAGAATGGTTTTGATCTGCCTCTATGACACCTTTAAAATGGCACTCATAGAAAATGCATTTTCTGATCAATGTATCTCGATCCAGGAAGCATATAAAAGTTGAAATTTGAAATACACATAGTCTGTGATGAGCATTAATACTCATCACAGACCATGTGTATTTCAAATAATTAGCTTTAGCTAATATCATGTGCATATTTAATGTGCAGATTTGTCAAAGATAGAACAGCGAAAAAGAAAATCGATGTATTTTTGCTCAGAATTTTGTCACATGATCTCCAATGGGTTTTCGAAAAAAATTTAGGACCTAAGATAGGTATGTGGGCAAAAGACATAATGCTCACATTGTACTTGGCTCGCCGATCGGCAGCGAACATGTTCAGTGGCGATCAGCGTGCCCTAGCTTCGGATGGTTACATGCCTAGAGGCAACGTTAATGACCCTTAAACTGAAGATGAATAAAGTTAGAATAAAATATATTCTTATCATACTTCGAAAGAAAACTAGACGTTTGGAGAGTCGAAATTAACATATACAAAGGGTACCGACTATGAGTGCGAATGTAGGTAGTTTCTACTAAGTGAAAAATTAGGTACTTCTCCTTGTAAGACTTTATTATTAATTTTTCAGTTACATTAGTAGAAATGATGTCGATCGGTACATTGATTGCTTATACACTTGTAAGTATTGCTGTTGTTATTCTACGTTATGAAAAATTGGAAACAATCAATGAATTAGATCTGAAGGCAAATGACGACCAGAAACAGAGAAATGATAAAATATCAGCATCTCCTTCAACAAATATAGACCAACTAAGCATCACTTCTATTGTTGGCATTATCGTTTTATTGATAATTATATTGTGTATGATTTCAATCCACTTGTTTGAAAACCACGATTCAATCTCAAGTTCATCAGTTATTCTATTTTGTATTGTTACCCTTGTGTTAATATTAGTAACATATTTTGGCCTAGCAAAAAGACAACAGTACCTTGACTCAACTCTCTTTCATGTACCATATGTACCATGGTTTCCCGTTCTTAGCATTCTATTTAATATTTATTTAATGCTCAAGCTTAAACCAGCAACATGGATGAGATTTTTAATTTGGATGATAGCAGGATTTTCTATATATTTTGGCTATGGTATGAAGAGAGCGGGTAAAATTATGGCAAATTAACTATTATGCGTACGCGTGTATTATATGTTCAGATAAATAAATATTCTAGTCATACAATCAGAAGTAGTGTCACATTCTAAAAAATAATATGTCGCATGTGCTACAGACAGTGATAAATTCTGTGAAACAATAGTCTGCGACTCAGGGAGCGGTTGGCGACACATTCTTTGAGTTGCCGTTGCAACACATCTTTGCTGTCCCACTTGCAAAATAAAAGTTTGCGATACATTACTTTGTTTTGGAATGGACTTCCGCTCGCAGAACAGAATATAAGGTGAAGACTTTTTGTTTTCGTTTATGCGTAGGGATGATCGACATTTGGCAATCAATTACGATTTAGTACACAGCTTTTTAAAGATTATTTTTGTTTGTACTATGGTTTCTTCCTATCTATTGATGCTCGAAATTTTAGAATAAAAATCAGTACTAAAACCTTTCATTTCAGAGTGCTCAAGGCTTTAAAAGTATTATACTATAATTTTCACACAAAGAAAAATCAATTTGATATTTTTACTTTTATTGAGGTCAAGAAATTTGAAATAAAGATCGATATCAAATGTATAAGTATTGAGAGAGAGTCACATGTGTTTCAATTCGCTATGTTCATCTCTTTATTTGACAAATAAATCATTTCTCATAGAAAAAATACATAAAAAGTACAGCAATATATACCTAATCTAAAAAATTTTTTCATGCCTCATCATTCATATTGCTAATTTTTGAAACATATTTAAAAAACTTCGTTTTTTTGCACTTTCCATCGGTGTATTTTTATTTTTCTCAGCGATTGTATCCTTATGTAATCCATCATTCTTGTTGTTGATTTTGGTTGTGCGCGAAGTTATGGCTTGTTGTTTGTTCTGTACAGATAATGGTCTTTTTTCATCTCTAACATTTGGTGCTGATTTTTTAACTGTTGATACTGATGTATTTCTTTTATTATTCTGTTTTTTATTTCGTCCACGTTGTCTAGTGGCGTCCTCCTCAGATGTTGGTACAGAAGATCGTGTTGTCCATATATCAGAAATTGATGATATTTCATCAGATGTTTGTTTAGCATGTGGAGCTTTTACACCATGTGGTAATATGCGAGGATGTGGTTGTTTATCTCGAGGAAATAATGAATGAACAATGCTTTTTGGATTCATGCTGGAAAAATAGCCGTTGGATGATATTGAACGTTCATTAAACGGATACGTAGAATAAATTGTATTCGGTGAATAGTTTTGAATTTGTCGCTTCGTCGTTCGTTGTTTATGTTTATTAAAATTTTTCTCGATTTCTGGTCGTTTCATGTGGTACGTCTTGATAAATGGCGAGGTAGATGTATTGAATGAATGACGTTTCGAATCATCACGATGATTATTTGTTTTAACTGAATACGATTGAGATCGATAATCAACAGTAGATGGATTGTGTGATGTTGAATTTTTATTAGTGCTAATTGGTACGGCTTTTGATTGAGAACAAATCGGTAGTGTATTAAAATAACCTTTTTTTAGTGGCGATGTTTTTGTGTCATTATTAGTTGCTGATGAACGTCCAACAATGTGTGCTTTTTTATCTTTAAATTTTTCACGCCAATAATCATTTTCTTCGCGTCGTTTTTCAGCTTCGAGCAATGCTTCAAATATATTATCTAACGTACTTTCTTTAGTCTGTGCTGGTGTTTTAGTCTTTGCTTTCGAATGTTCACCAAGTAATTTTCGATTTTTTGTCGTGTCATAGTAAGATTCTTTGTGATTTTCAACAATAGGTTTAAACGTTGTTCCTTTTAACGGTACATGGGAATAAACTTGTTCGTTTGGATGACCTTTTAACTGTGGTTTTAAGACTTTGACAAACGAATTTTGATGCTCATTGAACGGAGATATTGTTGTAGAAGGAAATGCAAGCCGACCACCAATTATTTTATCGTTCCATGAGTTTCGATTATGAGAATACGTATTTGTGTCGATGGAAGGTGAATCAAAATAGGGTTTAATTTGTTCAGGATGGCACCTGTAAGTAAATGATCTAGTTTTTCGTCGATTGGAATCACTTAAACTTTCAAATGAACTGGATTTTGATAAAATTGTGCTTAATGCTGCACTAGATTCAACATCGTCAGAGTTTATTTGATCGAAACTAGTTCGAAGATGACGGTTATTAGTAACGTTAGTAATATTACGTACTTTTCCGTGAAGTGGTGGTCGTTGATCTGGATAGTTTAAATAATAATATTTTCCCGTTGGCATAAGTTCATACTGTAATAATCGACGCTGTCGTTTTGGTCGTCTAGGATTTTCTTCCCCTGAGTTATCTTTTCGAGTGACTTTTGATGGAGGTGGTGGTGGTGGCTGACGAGAACTTTTAGCTCGGAGCCGCGTGGAAGGACTCGTTTTGATATCATCATTCTCTAAAGTTGATGTAGAGCCAGCAGTTAATGTTCCTTCATTTAATGAGGTGGTAGAAGCTGAACTTGTTTGAACACTATCTTTAACAGTTTTTGTTGTCATTTCGGCTAAAGTTGAAATTGCTAAACAAATATAAATAAAGATGAAAAATCTTATTCTCTGCATCTTATACAATAATAACTAAGGGTGAGATTGAAATTTTTCTGAAGCTAATACGTGATCAAAAACGTACCACCTAATCTCATGTTCAAGTTCAGATTAATGAACGATACCTGTGCTAACGTATTTACTCTATAAGCGATAACAATCATGCAGGTATAGTTTGGTATATACATCTACTATAGTTCTAGGTTCGTTTTCTTACCGTCTCTTGAACTAATACTTTTCTCATCACTTGACTCGTCAATATAAGCAAAATGAGTGTATACTGGCATGTTTAAATTTTCAACATGACTAACGGTTACGGAAGGTGTGTTTAAATCAATATTCTCATTTCGGTTAATAATAGGACTATTTACATTTTGTATTTTATTATCGTCGCTAACACAACTTAAGCCGTTATTACTCTTATTTTTATCATCAAATGCTACTGATGTCTGTAATTGGCCGTTAGTAATTGTAATAGTTTCTGAAATTGTAATACACATACTACCTGTTTCTCCTACGATATAATTGACTGTAGTGAAAGTTGTTTGACCGGGGACATTTGTATACGTATTTGTGGTAGTTGTCGACGTTGTCGACGTGGTCGAATTTAGAACCGTTAACAATGGTGGTGGCTCTTGTTCATTTACTCGTAAAGTATTATCATTATTCTGTTGTATAACAATTTGATTGTCGATCTCCTCAGAATTTTTTCCCTCTCTACGACCACTTGTCGTCCTGTAATCAGTTTCCCTTGAACGCGTTGTGCTACGAGGTGTTGTTTTAATGACGGTGGTGGAAGTACTCATCGGTGTATTATCTGTATCAAAATTAACAAGAATAATAGTACCACTAAATAATGGTTTACCAACAAGTGTACGATTTAAAAATGTGTTTAATCTTGTCTCATTTTGATAACGTGTGAATCCCAATGTGAAATAGGCAATTATGCTGCCATCTATGAATCCAGTAACCGCACAACTCCCGTAAAATACGGCGTATTTAGTTTTGCTCTCTACTAAAGTTTGACTGACCTAGAATAAAATTTGGAGAAGCAAAGATAAAGACCAACAATATCTATATACGGAAAGATTTTTGATAACATGTGATTTTACATTGGTCACGTAGAGAAGGTGACTTTTTTTCAATTGTATTTAGTTAGTTCATGTGCATTTTGGTACTGTAACATTCAACATAGTATTAACAAAGTTTTGGTACGCATAACAAATGGCTATCATTTAAGTGGTCGGTAAAATGGATAAAATGGTCAGTAAGTGAAATAATTATAAAATCAGTAAATTAAATGATTGATCAGTAAGCTAATTAAATGGTCAGTTACTAACTAATTAGGTTTGTTAATAAATTTAAAAATCAGTAAATAAAATTTATTAACAGTCAATTATATTAAAGGGTGATCAAATTTGTATTTTTTTAATTCTAATTATATATAATAAACTGACCATTTTACAGTTAACTACTGATCATTTTAGTACTGACCACTCAATATTTATACTGATCATTTATATATTTTTTTACTGGCCATTTCATCTATTTTACTGACCAAATATTATGTTCCCGTAACAAATGACTTTTTTTTTTCACACCATTACCTGGTACACGTGCTTTCGTACACAACTTTTCTTTTAAACGTTTTTTAAAATAATTTAACAAACATGTTTAAAGATAAAGATGTTCACTAAAATTCACTGTTCGAAACAGCTAGTATGAACAATTTCTTGTTCTGTGAATAACTCAATTTTTTTCATCTTCAATAGTGTGGAACAAATTTCGTTTTCTTTTCAGCTATATATGTTTGTAGAAGGAAACATACATAGAGAGAAAGAGACATCGTTTCTTTTTGGAAACATTCAGTGAGTTAATCCAATTGTTTTCTTATCCTAATCATGTGTAGTGAACGACCAAAAAAAGAGAAGAGAAATTAAATTCAGAACACTCGACTAATTACGGAAAAATCAACTGTGTAGATAAAATACAACTTTTCATTGGAAAAACGATTGAAAATAGAAGAGAATCATCTAGATAGACTACAATAAAAGAATGTTTTTTCGGTTTCTTCGAGAAATTGAATAAATATATGAAATTGACTAGATACGGTTATGTGTATCAATTCTTTTCTTTATGAATATATTTAATTCTAAATGATGCATAAGGGAATATTCAGAAATGTAACTATTTACATCACTGGGATTGGAGGATAAATGCATCTATATCAGCTCGGCTTGGCCAGCTAACTCTTTTACCAAAGTGAAATTCCCTAACGATTTTTTTGTATTTTGCTTCCGAGAGAGATAAGGATAGAACAGAAAGAAGCAAAGCACAAAAGAACACTACACAGTTGATAGAATCGAACACTTGAACTTTGAATTCAAATGCAAAGAATTTACTTTTGGATTAAATTGTCCAAAAGTAAACTCTGAGGTGTTCTCATCCCCATCCTGTGCATTGCTATAGTGTGTTCTACTCCCGATGCTCAACCCATACAGCTTATATCCTTGATCAGCGACCAAAGCCTGTATACTCTGTGATGAGTAACCCTTATAATTAACCCTTATAATTTTCAAGTGGCCAGGCGTCCAGAGATCTGGAACATCTCAGATTAAATAGAAAAGTGTGCTTAAGATTTTGAAATGTTCCCGCAGTCTACACGGTGAACAAGCAGGTGACTGTATTTTTATTATAGTTTCTGAATGAAAGAGCCTATCGACTGCGGGAACATTTGAAAATCTTCAGTACATTTTTCTATTTAATCTGAGATGTTCCAGATCTCCGGGTGTCTCGTCACTCGAAAATAAGAAGAGAAACAAAATGCAAAAAAATAGTGACGAAATTTCACTCCGGTAAAAGAGTTAGCTGGCCAAGACGCGCCATTACTGCTTTAGGCAAAACTCAAGCTTCTCGTAACAACTGCATCAATATACTTCTAGCTCCACTTGGGAACTTCTATCAAATTCAACCCCCAAATTTTTTTGAGTTTTTCAAGAGTGAGATTAAAATCTGTAATAAATGAAATCATTTATTTTCTCAGTAAACATGAGTAAAACTTTTATTCAACATTCGTTCCCCAATTCTCTCTTCCGGAGCTAAATATTTTGGATTTTTTGTTATGATTCATAGATCCTCTCTGTTGTAACATAGTAACAGAAATCATTTTTTCCTTATTCTTTCTCTAATAGGAATATCATAAAAATAATCAGAGAATAAGTAGAGAAAGCAATAAAAAAATATGAAAGTAGTGTGATTATTTGGTATTTAACGATTTTGTCATGCTATTAGATTATTTCGTCCAAATGACAGAACGGATATAACAAACATTGAATGTTTAAATTAATACTTATTTAACTGAGAGATAGAGAAGAGGAAACATGTTTTGCAATGATTGCCTTTCTTATTCTACTCTTCCTGAAAAACATTAACTTCTATATCCCTGTAGGGCCACAATACAACATCTCTCTTTATTTTTACATAAAAAACTCGTTTTTCCACATAATAAAAATCGATACTTAGTATCCTGCATTAAAAAATGAAATATCTGCACAAACGATTTGTCTATTAGCACTGATATCTGAGTTAGATACGGACACGATAATTGTCTTCTCACAATATAAGCGATTAATCTTACCAATTCACAGAGTTGTCGCTGATAATTTCTATATAGTGACGATGACGATATTGCTAATTCTGGATTATAGAGTGCTCGTACGACAATATTTCCACTATATAAATTTGAGATTGTACTAGTTGTTGTTTTAGCTAAATAAAGATGTTTGCGATCATTTTGATTCGTGGATGGGAGGGGGCACGTTCTTCATTTACCTAAAGTGACAGCCACGACAATGGCAACAACCACAATAAGTATAACAACGGCTACCGATGATCCGACGATAATACGTTTATAAAATGGCCGAATAACTGGACATGGATCAGCTCGTCCAGGCCTTCGATACGGCAAATAGCTTTCTTCGAGATTTGGAGCTTGTTCGGATGTCTCACGCATTTGTCTTGACAAAGGAGGACTGTTTGTAGAACGATGAGCGACTTTTTTCCACGCCTCTATAGACGAATACATGATAGAAATACAATTGTATGTTCTTTACGAGTACTTTTTAGTCATTTAAACATGCATTCTTGTTACAATACACTGTTCATGCAGTGGAGCGAGCTGTTGTCAGCACTCCAAAAATCCGCACAAAAATTTACATGTGCATCAAAAATTTGGTACATCCTATCAGACATTGACATTTTTCCTTTGTAAAAGTGAAGAAAAGCACATACCAACATCTAATCTTTGAAGATTAAATTAGAACGATAGCAGCACGTTAATAGCATAAAAAATGTTAGACAAATGTTTACATCCGTCTATTTACCATGATCCCGTAGATGGGGTATATCGCTCAGTTGTAAATCAGCAAAGGTAGAATCCGGTGTGAGACTATTAAGTTTATAGAATTGTTGTCGTACAGCATTTGGATTTTTCTAAATGTAATGATAAATCGATTTTCTATTAGTTAAAAAAACTTTTACTTTTGCTGGTTTCAAAATATCAATGTACATACCCGATGGATATATGGGTTGTGGTTATCTTCGGAGATTTTTGGAGATAATGGAGGTGTTCTTTGTCGAGGTCTCTTTGATGTTTCATCTATAGATGACTTCACATTTTTTCTTATCGGTGTGCTCAGATTTTGATTGATAGACAATATATTAAGTGCACGCTCGAACTTGGACATACTGTTTTCATTATTACTAAAAGACAAAAATTATTGAAAGTAAACTGCGTATTTGAGCAAAAACAGCTCAAGTTTAAATACAATTCTAACTGTAGGAGTTGACGCGAGACTGAAATCAGTGTTGTTCTCTCGTGATACATGAATCATTCTTTAGGTTGAAAGCTATGCAAAACGTGTGAAAATTTTACGAACAAAAAAGATGTTCTCTGCTTACTTTCGATCTTTCTTTGGACGTTGTACGAACATCAGTAATAATACGTTGTATAGTTTAAAACGTAAATCAGATTCGAAATCTACGTACCTATTATTAGTTACGCATAAATGAATCCATAATTTGATTCTCTACATGCAGAGAACGTAAGTTTTCTTTATCGCACAAACAGTAAAAATAGTCAATATCGTTTTTTCACTAATTATTATTTTCCCCTTCTAAAGGTGATAGGCGCGTATAAAATATGTATGACCTTTCTTTTTGATATGATATATTTACTACTAAGCAAGGTAAATATTAAGAGTTCAAACATACTGATTACTAGTGCAGAACTTTATATAAAATGAATTTGATCTTGATATATTTGAAAATGATAATAGACAGTCTGATTGTTATCCTTATCCTTGTAAACACCTATTTTTCAGAATATATTTAAGAAGCAAGTTAAAAAGAATCAAAATCATCGTTAATTTGTCAAATCAAAGTCAAAACTATCATCATCAGCTTTGTCGGCTTCGACACATGCGCTTTTTCTTACAGTTAAATGGTAAAATTTATAGATCAATTTAACAATCCTTATAGCTGAACCCGGTTCACTTATTCAATTATTTATATGGATAAGATAATAAATGAGATCGGAAAAAAGGGGCATTTGAGCTCGATGTGTTTAATTGGTTTTAAAATGAGAGAAATGAGCTTGGTTATCGGCTTATGAACAAAGACAAGATTACAAACAAGTACTTCAAATATTCTTTTCCAATTTGTGCAAAGACAACATTATTTCACATAGAAAAATTAGTAATACAATTATATTTTATTTATATAAATGAGTGTTTTGAGCTCCGAAATTAATTGATACTCTAAAAAAATATAAATGAGCTCAGTTAATTTTATTTTTGTCGATAAAAAGAGAGAAATGAGCTCGAAAATTAATTTATGAAAATTAATTAATGATTTTGTGTGTATTCATGTCATGTAATATAACGATAAGCCTGTATTCATGTCCTATCAGTACATTCTCAATTAACTCTGTCCTTTCATAATGTCTCGTCGAACTATATGGTTGAAGAGTCCAAAGTGTCTTCTTTCCAACGCACTCATTTTTATGCCTCGAAAAATGACTTTTGATGGTTTTCTAGCTGGTTTTCTGAAAGTCTCCAATTTTAAAAAAATTAGTCTTTTATCGAAATATCACTGCATACGCAAAAATACATGTCGCACATGTCTCTGCATACGCAAAAACCTATGGTGAACTATTCTTGTATTTCTTTTATTAATTATTATTATATTTCTTTCCTTCTTCATTTTCCATTTCATAAACCTGTTTCACGTTTTTCTCAAAAGAAATTTAAAGAAATTTAAAGTTTCCGACAGGTTAGAGAGGTTTTATTTACTTTTTGGCAGCTTTTAAATTTCTCCTAAACTAAACTTAAATTGAAAAATCCAACGATGTCTCGACATAGAAAAAACATTTTTTAAAACTAATCCGAAATTTCTAGCTCGAAAAATGGCGGCGGAATCTTGAAAGTACGAAACCGTACTTTTTCATCACTAATTTAAGAATAACTCAGAAAACAAGTGATAAGAGTCTGCAATTAGGAATGATTAAGTTACCTCAAGGCACACATTATCTGAAATTTTCATCAAGGTTGAATGTTCCTGGACGAAAATAGGTTTCTGAGTGGTAGGGGGGACTTAGAAAAAAGCTAGCAACGACGCTTGCAGATGTTCACTGGTCAGTTCACTTCTGTGCATGATATTTTCCGAGTGGAATTGACCAGTTAATTTCAACGAATTTTTATTAGACATGCACGTAGAGGATATTTAACTGTCTCGCTTGAGTTACTGTCAAGACTCATACTTTACTTCCATGGAAAAAGACACGAAACACTTAGAAGAAACTATCAGCGCTACTTTCAAAAAATATTTTCGAGACCACGGGACCGGAACCAAATTTTTTTCTTCACAGGACCGGGACCAAAAAAGTTTGATCCCGCAAGCCTCTAGTCAGAAGTCAACTGACGAAACGTCTCAAGTAAAAGGTATTTTTAAATTTTTATCGCAAAACATATACTTCGTGCATCGTTCTTTTAGGTTTTCAACTTACTGAAATCATGTTTACTAAAACTTTTTAAAAAAGTTTATTGGCTAAGCGATCAATAAAAAAATACGTGAATGAAAATGTGGTAGATATTTTACGTCTGCAAGTAAAAACTTCGGCTTATTGTTTTATGTGGAATGAGTACGATTGAAGCGAGCAATCTCAAACAGAAGAATGTGAGAATAGAGGTCATCAACTAGAACGAACCATGTATGAAACTCGATTCAACGAAGATCAACAAGTTGCTGAGTCTGTAATGTAATGTTCATGTATTGAAACCAATTAGTGTATAAGTACCACAGCATGGCTCAGTGACCAGGAAGAAAACAATATGAATATATAGGAAAGTAACACTGGACATTGAGAACAAATTTTTTCAACAAATTTTTTTTCAAGTTATTTTTCATAATATGATCATATATAATAACATAGTTTTTTTCTTTTACGGAAACTATTACGGCAATACTTTAAGGACAAAAATAACGTGTCCATTCATGCGTCCCTCACCCTAGAATTTATCATTATAATATCTAGAACTCTGTAGTTATTTTACACGAAAATATGAATTGTCTGATACGTGTCTATACACGTAAGTAGGTTTGAAATTCTCTAACGTCTTTTCAATATGACAACTTGCTCTATCGAAACATTATTTTTCTCTGTAGATGGAGCTTTGTACGATTCAATTGAAAGATTTATAACCATTAAAATGAAGGTAGTGTCTTAGAAACAATAGAAAATGCTCTACTAAAGAATGGCGTCTATACCATCAAAAATGGATTAAAATAAAAGTCGATAATTTTTGTTTCTCGTGAATAAAATGCCATTATATGAAATTTATTCCCATCCTGAGCGATCTCGATATAACGCTTATTTCTTTTCTTCAAGTACATTTTTTCTCATTACGTGCCTTATATTAGGCTATTTGTCTCCAATTTTCATCGCTTATTTTACCGGTGGATTTTGGCGAAAAGAGTTGATTTACAGTGAACAACCACGAGTTAATTACATCAGAAAATATATTTTGCTTGTTGAAAATGATGTAGCTGACAATAATTCGAAAATATTTTTGTCATCAAACTCAACATATAATCAGATATTAGGAACATTATTGCTTCACGGCAGTCAGACATCATCTTTCCAAGATCTCGATTCTGATGGTATCCCGGATCAGTGGAAAATTATTTTTAACGTACCGTTAGATAACAATCAACTAACAAGCTTAAATGTCTGGTTGTTTTTCGATTATCAACTCAATGGTCGTCAGCAAATCAGTATGGAAACGTTAGGATTAATTAGTCTTGTTCCACCAATAGGATTAACAACAAAGATTGTCACTATTTATGGTCAACTACAATTTGAACAAAATCAACCGATTAAAAGTCATGGTAGTGATTCAACATTAGATACATCGATATTTCCAGATAATATTCAGCCACTTGATAATATACTTTCAAATTATTTTTCACGAACTTATTATACATTATTCAAACAACAATATATACAATGGACGTCATCTATACAGGAACCATCTACTTTGCAAGTAACGGTTGTTTTAAACGTTGGAAGACAGACAGTACGATATGTACCATCATTTTGGGAAGAATTTAAATGGGGACTTATTCAATATACTGCCGTTTTAATACCACTCTTGTTTCTTATAAACAAAGCTAAAGAATTTTTATTTGCTAATCAACTGGTAAGAACCATTGTTCATACATCTAATAATAAAAGGCATAAAGCTTAAACAAAAGGAAAATGAAAAATAAGAAGAGACTCATATTGATGAAAGCCTTATTTCCAGAATACATAGCTTTATATTTCAAAATAATCATTTTAGAAGAAGATAAATTGAGCAAACTAAGAACTAAACTTTTCATTTTTGAGTGATTAACCACTAATATAATCAAGGTGATATTACTTAAACCTGTTCCCTGAAATCAACCTACACTAAATTCACCTCTACTGTCTCTTCTATTCAGTATATAGTTTAATCATTGTGTCTAAAGCTTCATGTACTAATAACATAATAATTAATATGTAGATAAGAAGTTCACTAATATTTTCATAGAAAAATGTCAAAAGCTTGGTGTGTGTGTGTATAGTTGTGTGTACCTGTTATGGTAACAATAGGATATATATGTATTTTCAAATAAAATCTCCAAAATAATACAAATGTAAATCCTATCTTGCTTCTATAGTGAATGAAATTAGTATTCTCTATTTGAAAAATATTCGACAGGTTTTATCGATTCATCTTCATCATCATTGTCGTCAAGACTTTTATTACTTATTGAATAATTTCGAACAATTGCTCGTGCAATAGGTGAAACTGGTCTTGATGAGACACGTTCATAATCCAAATTTTTCGTTGAATGACGTGTTTCACGTTGCTCGTGCCAATTTCGAATTGTATCGCATACAGAACATCGTGCAGAATTACGCGCAGACGTTTCGACAGTCGATATGGCCGGTGGTAACGATGATGCAAGTATTTGACGATGTCTGTATGAGTCTTGAAATGCTCGAGCTAATAATTCAGCTAACAATTTTGATTTTTTGCTTGTTTTGCATACCACTGCGTGACAGTCTAATTCATCCATTCGAATATCACGAGCAATCCACGCAAATACTTTACGATACGATGGTTCGGCGACACAATAAGAAATATCTTCAATCCGATCATACCAGATACTTTTATAGGTGCCATTTGCTAAATAGAGCAGTAATAAAAGTTAAATTGATCAAGTCATAATCAATAAGCGTACCAATTTCTTCGTACATACATAGTCCAAAGGAATGAATCGATAATGCACAGCGATTATATCGTGTGCCTTTTTTTGATCGTCGCCATATAATTTTGACAGGCTCCTAAAATAAATGTTTTTATTGTCATAATTAGTCGAAACAAAATTTCAAATTAACTTACTATAGCCACTCCAATTCCATGAGCGTAATGTGTTCTTATTTTGCCAAGATATTTAACTGTCTGTAAACTCTCGTCGTCCGGATATACTTCGTTCATTATTAATCGGATACAAACAGGGTGATCTAAATAATTAAAAGGGAAATACCATGTTAACATCAACAGTTGACTGACTATAATGTCAATCACTGTAGATGGATAGATATTTAAACTTTTAAAAAAGATATTGTGTGCTGTCAGTAGTAGTGGATAATTCGCTGTTTTCTCTTTAAAATATCTAATTTAATTTTCCCTGCTAATATCTTCAACACAACAATGACAGTTGTTTTATTATATTATAAATTGGTGGGAGACACATACCTGCTCAACGTTCTCGTTTTATTTCAATAAAAAAATCAAATCAATCATCTTAAACGTAATTTATCATCACTGTTACTTCTGTTCAAATAAATAATGGATATTAAACAAAACAAAAAGTTGTTTTTGTTGATAAAGAAGAGTCTTTGTTTCTTATAAGTACATTCACACAGTATAGAAGACAAATACATAGAAGAAAAAGAAAAAATACAATACTTTGTGCATACCCTTGATCCCAATATAAAGCTTTTCGAGGAAGTTATTAAATATCAATGTGGAAATCAACCATGATGATTATAATGCTCTAACAAACAGTTAGAGTATTGTTTAGTAAAAACACACAGCGGCTCATCTAAGTAAAAATATTGAACTAATATGACCAAAATCAGAAGAAAGTCGGTCATTATTTATCTAACTCATATAAAACAAAAGAATTAACATCGTTGTCAGAGTATTACATTAAACCATGCCGGATAAAATATTTGTACAAAAAGTTTCTAAACGGTCATTAAAAGTCGGAAGATAGTTGTTTGTTATTCGAAAAATTATATTTCTTGTTCAAATTCTAAATATTTATTTGAATATATGAACATAGAGACTATTTTAAATAAATGCTTGCGATCATAAAACACGAAGAATTTGGCGCTTCAACAACATCGAATTGTTAGTGATTTTTAGCATAATTTGAAACAACGTTTAATTTCCATCAATGATTGTCCCATTGTCTGTATACAAGTTGAAAGTAGTTTATATTAATTAGATCAACATCAATTGTACCTTCAACACTTTAAACATGAAATTTAGGATCCCTATTAAGAAACGTACGATTAGAAAACGTATGTCAAAAATCAAAACTAGTTTACCACCATTGTCAGCCAATAATGTATCTAAAGTTGGCATCATTCATCAACCCTATTCGCATCATCCATATTCTGAAACAATCCCCAAAACGACAATTGAACCCGTTGACGAACGAAAAATTCAACAAACATCATTGAAAATTGATGCTGTTTTGAATATGATCAATGAAGCATATGAAAAAACGTTAATTCGCCAATATCGTCTAGATGAATTAGATAAAAACGCTGATAAATTGATTCTATCAGCTGGCCAATTTCAGAAGACAGCAGCCGAAGTTCAAAGAACGATCTGGTGTCAGAATAGATATTGTTGTTATCTAGTGATTGCTAGTTCGACAGCGATTGCTGCCGGAGGATTGATTGCCATGTATTTTATTTCTAGACCAGCCCCTTGATTCATTATGTTTACCCACTTGTTTTTAAGTTGCATGTCAAATTGTGACATTAGTCTGTTGCTTAAGTCAAGAAGAAATTCTTGTATATTTTCATATCCTAACACATTTTGAAAGAATTCTGATCATGAATTCTGATTTGATCGTACGTCAGTAGATAGTTAACATTTTCCATATTATTATCACGAATCGCTTGACGAACATCTATGGATTTTTTTCTACAAAGAAAAGATATAGTGTTGATATGTTTATTCAATATGATCATTAGATACTAATAATTGTGATATTTATCGTGTTATATAAGTGACTCGATCCCTTCCATCATTACACACTACATCTTTGATACTTACGTTTTGTTGAGAAGAACAGTATCCCAGTTTGATGAAATCATACAAAAACAGATCACTCAGGGCTTTTAAAATTATCATCAGATCATCCCAAATAAATCAACACAATATTCATATAAAAATTGAAAGTATTTTACAAATCATCTATAGAGACCAAAATCAAGTATTCAAATATCAATTTGATTAGCGTTTTTTTGTAAATTTGTAAATTTCTTTCATTTGCCACATCAGATGCTATTCTACCCTCTTTTTTTCTTGATACAGTCCAGTAGTACGATTCGCGTTCAGATTTCAATAAATTCAATTCTAGAAGGATATGTCTAGAATCCAGTCAGAAAATTTATAGAACTTTTCCTAGCGTACACAGTATGTAAACCAGATTTGTATTTGAATAATGAGACCACATAGATTGTGTTCATTATAACGATGTATGTCCCTTGATTTCGTTACGCTTCTAGGATTCAAACAAAATCCTATGGAACCATAATGAAACTAGAGCTACTCAAAAATCGGAACGCTGGCTATCATCTTACAATATAATGTTTGTAATTATCGAATAAGATCAGACAGCTGCACGTATTTTTGATTTATATTATGATATGATGCCTGTAAGGAGGACAGAAATTTTTTCTTAAACTATCTCTGTTTGATGTTAACGAGACACGGTTATCTCTTTCACGTAAAAAATAATGTGTCGTATGTTTATGTCACAGACTCTCTGAGCCAAATGTGTCGCAAACGAATGCGTTGCGATTGAAGTGTCGGAGTTACTGAGGTTCTAAAGATGTAGTTTTAACACATATATTAGGCCCTAAGAAGGAAACCACGTCGTTCATCCCTCAGTTTTAGTGTGCTTTAGCATTCTCTGTTTGATATTTCATTGCCGTCTCCTGCTCCTGCACAGACGCTAGATGTCGCTAATAAAAGAAAGATATAACTCATGTCTTGGATTTAACGGTTTTCTAAGACTTGAAACCTTCCTTTGAGACAAATGGAACCCGAGTCACTGGTTACGATGGTCATATACTGCGAATTACGACCGTGTACTGTAACGTAACACGCCGTAACTTAACATAATTTGGCCGTAATCCTATACTCCCTAACACTGCAGCCGTAAACAGCATTTTACGGGACCGTTTACGTCCATAATGGGCCCGTATACGCTCGTTTAAGGCGGCAGTATTACAGAGCATAGGATCACATGTCGTAAATCGATTTTACGGCCTTTTACGGGCCGCACGTGCAAGTTTGCACTCTTTTACTATCGTCTAGGTTCGTACACTTTAATTTAATCTTTATAACCAAGGATGTGTGGGAGCCTCGATGTAAAAAATATGTCACGTGTTGCAACACATTATTTTTTAGTGTGTTCTCTCTTTTTAATATCAGATTAGTGTAGTATATACAGACATTCATTTTGTACATGTCACGTCTTTCTACTGTTTATATTATACAATGTATAATTGCTAATTTCATATGAATAAATGGCTCTAGCATAATTGAGACCATTTTTTTTGCTATGCTTATCAATTAGATTTAGAAAATGGTCTCAATTTGGAACAGAGAATTTGTTCTTTTCATAAACTGTTTTTAATTTACAATAAATACTACAAAACAATTATGTTTTAGGTGTATTCTCCTACGTTATAATATTGTCTAATACAACTATATATTGAAATACATTGCATTGAATACGTTGGCTGTTTAGTATATGTTTTCAATATATAATCGGTCAATTTAATAGGAGAATGATTCTATTCTATTTGACAATGCCTCATTTACCTCATTGGGAGGTAGTAATGGTAATGCTATCATATTAACAGTTGGTTAGCTTGCATTCTCGTTGTTATGGGATTAATTTTCCTAAGTCGTATTTTTTATCTTTTTCCATATGTTTTGTACAAAATGGAAATGACAGCCTTTCACCATAGTCGTTAGAAATTTACGCGAGAACTTGTAATTCCAGCAACGGTTTCAAGAAGCACCTCAATCTGTTTCTCTCCCTACAGCAGATAATCATTTCCAATTACGGAGTGATACGAAATTATAAACAGTGTATAAAGTGTATGAAAAGAACAAATTCTCTATTTCAAATTGAGACCACTTTCTAAATCTAATTCATAATAGAAAAAAAGTGGTCTCAATCATCAAGCCACGGAATAAATGAATGAATGGAATTGATTATGAGTTTTTTCTTCTTTTGAAATGTTAATGACATTGATATGATTTTGTGTAGAGTAGTCTCTGGCGGTGTCGTCGTTCTATCCTGACAACAAAGACGTGCGTTTTGAAAAAAGAAGAATATGCGTGTTTTATCTATGAAGACATATAAACATATAGCTTGTTTTGTTTACAATATTATCAGACAAATTGCAGAAGAACCTTGATACAAACAGATGAACATTACCAGAGCTCCCTGATTCTCTTCGAAAATAACATGTTTTATGTGTATAAGCGTTCTGTTCTCTATTATGAGGCAGATGCGTCAATTGATCGCTAGTACGGTGATACTTACTATTTATTATTCTATGAAACAAATTGTGCATGATGATGATGATGTTAATATATTTACTTTCGTTAAGTATTTGTAACGCAGACTTTTACGAAGTGTTTACAAGACCATGAGGTAAAGTATTTTTATTTTCATCGTAGTTGCATACACAAATTACGTATATAAAAAGAAATGTGTACAGATGATTGATGAAAATAATCCTTCATCCTAGTTGTTTTTGAAATTTTCATATTAGTACTACACATAAACGAAAGTTAGACACTAGAGCCATGGATAGAATAGTTTATATAAGTCTTAGGAAACGTGGCATATATAAATGGTGTTTTCTAATATTTTGAATATTAGAAAGCAGGAAACACATAAGTGTATAGGAACGAACATACCATTAGATAAATCGAGAAATTTTGCATATTTTATTACTAAAACCAAATTATTATACTTATCTAACTGAACAAAAATTTATTTTCAAAACTTCCTAATTCTTCAGTTGAGCAACTCAGCTTTTTATGGCTTTCATTACTTCGAATACTGTTGAAAAATGACAAATACTTATTTCAAAGTTTATATATGACTAAAATTTACGCAAAATTCTCTAGCTTTTTGCATCTATACGAAGTTTTCTGATCAAGCTTAACCTGAGAAGAAAGCCTTGCAAAGGTTAACAGTTTGATCTGGACCACCCATTATTTAATTGAATATATATTATAGATTCTAGAAAGATTTTGAGAACAAATTATAATAATCAAGTTTCATGAAGAGAAAAAAATAAGTTAACCGGCAAACGTATATGTAATTTTTTTTATTTAATGACAGTCGCCATATATAAAAATAAATTCAATAAAAAAAGTGCATCTATTTTTTATTTTCAAGTAAAAAATATTTACTCATAATCGAAAATAAACCGGTAGGTGAAACTCTATACATGTATAGACTTTCTCATATTTTATAATCATATGTAAAGATTTATACATAGATAAAAAGAAAATTAAGTGCTATATATTCAAAAACATTGAAAATTAATCTCAGTTAATTCTATTACATATGTGCCTATGCCAATTTATCTTCTTGGAAATATGGTTTCATATGTGGGAAAATATAAAATATCATTTTAATGAAATTTCAATACAAAAAGTCGAATCTCATTTTGAAATAAGATTCAGATTTTAGCATATAATCTAAACATATAACGCGTAAAGGATAAAAGTACATAATTCTTCTAGCCAACAGAAACAAATCCTACAATTCTGGTATTTCAAGCCAATAAGAAAATAATAAACAGCTGTGGTATTATGTACGCGTGTTGGCACATAGCCAAATATAACCGAACAAAATAGACGCATAATATATATATATGTGTGTGTCTGTGTGTGGTATTCGAACTTTTTTCTTCTCTCAACTATGCACTAGTCGACTATCAGTTCAATTTGAAGAGCTGATTCAGACTTCAAGAAGCTGTATGACTCCATCAGTTTTTGCATGCCCTAATTTTGAAAACAATTCAGGAATCAGGATTGATTTTGTTTATAATGACAAAAATCAGAATAATTAGGATTTGTAATTTGAAAAAAATAAATTAGTCTGAATCAGCTCTTCAAAACGAGCTGATTTTCAACTGATATAAGAATGAGTGAGAAAGAGAAAGATTCTCTATTTTTTATTCTTTTCGCTCGCAGCTCATATTTTTCTTCATAGTCTATCCCTATAACATACATATCTAAATGTAACACAGAGAGCCGAGAACAACATAATCAACGTTTTTTTGTAATAAACCATCTGCATATTAAATTAACAGTCCAACATGAACCTCAGGCGATATAAGGTAAATTACTTTTTTTTTAAACATTAAACATGAGAGAGGCAAACTCACTACTATTAAGTTCAGAATAAACAGCGTCATTAGTCGAGACTTCTTTTCAGAAAAAAAAACACTAAAGTCGAACAGTGTTGATTGTACTCGATAATTTGATTATCAAGACAATTTTTATGAGAAAATTTACTGGGCCATGGATCCCATCAGTTTTTAATGATTATGCCTTTTTGTTTGAGATAAACAAGTGAAGAAAAAGATAGATGATCAGCACAGGCAAAGAGACAAACACGCAAACTTGTTTATAGTATAAAAAATTGTTTTTATATAATTAAAATTCATGTGCAGAATCGACTAACTATGATAAAGAATTTCCAAAACCAGACTATAGCTTGATTTTTACTTTTATTGTATCTATCTTCATACAAATTTTGTCTAATTATTTTCAATAGAAAAAGAAGGAAAAAGAGGAAGTGGTGATGTTCTTTCGGTGACATGGGAGAAAAAAAATTCTGTTTTTGTTTCTCAACTAGGTAAGTATTATTTTTGACTGTTCATTCATCATATTGAAGAGAAAAAGAGGTATTAAATTTTTTATACATGATCTGAATAAACATCATGCTTCTTCTTCTTTTTTTTTACAATTTGAATGGTAATAGCCGTTTAACCTACTGTCTATGTTCTTCGTCGATATAATATGACAAAAAATAGACATTTTTAAATTAGTTGATATTAATGATCGTGCTGCAATTAAGAGACGACCGAAAACTTTGTTTTTCCCTCCATAGGTGTCTCATCATCGATATCGCGCTTGATTTGGTATGTGAAAGAATTGAATATTGTCGCATTTATGTATTACGCATCTTTCTCTTCGGTTAATGCATGCAACATACAAGCATACATATACAGATTACTATTAAGTATGCATATATAGAAAAAAAAAGAGTTATCCTGAAATGACAGTAACGTTTACAACATTGACAAATTGATTAACATACTCATTTTCTTCATAAAGAAAACGAAGAGAGGAGCAACATTCTCTATAATAAGAAATTGAGTTGAAACGACAAGGTGGGTAAATAAAATGTTTTTGTTGAATGGAAAAAAAAAGGTTGATGGTCTAAAGATAATCTTGTCATCATCTACCGAAAAAGAGAATTTTCATAAAAACTGAGCTCGGAAAAACGAGATATTTGAGCTCGGTGTATTTAATTGACTTTAAAATGAGAGAAATGAGCTTGGTTGTATTCAAATTATATTTTATTTATATAAATGAGATATTTGAACTCGGAAATTAATTAATGATTTTGTCAATAGTAAAGTATATTTAATAAGAAAAAAAAATAGTTTAAGAACATAAAAAGTGCTAGATTACAATATTTTTTCACTAATATTCAGACTTTTGTTAAAACTAATTTAATTTTCTTTGGACGACAATTTCCCCCTCTTATCGCAAGTGGCTGTGTAACTGAATACACATTTTCTACGACATACTTTTCCATTTTCCATTGTCAAGTCTTTGCTTTAATTTGTATAAATTGATGGTCTTTTTATGCTCAAATAACTATATAAGTCTGCATGTATGTCCCATCAATACACATTCTCAATTAAATCTATTCTTTCATAATGTCTCGCACTAATATTTCTCTTCTACTTCTGAAAGTACTAGCGAATCTTCTACAAAAGAAAAGAAAATTTCTACTTATCATACCAAGCATTTTCAAGCTGGTAAAACTATTACATATTGTTATAATAGAAAATATCCTCTTTATCCTTTTCAATTAAAATCAAAAGAATTCAATAATAAATTTATAGTAATTAAATCTGAATGTTCATAATCATGATCAACGTAATGATACAACTCGTCTTAAATCCACTAGAGTTACACAGTCACTTGGGATAAGAAGGGGAAAAGGTCGTCGTCCAAAGAAAATTAAATTAGCTTTAACAAAAGACTAAATATTAGTGAAAAAATATTGTAATCTAGCACTTTTTTGTATTCTTGAACTATTTTTTTTTCGTATTAAATATACTTTACTATTGACAAAATCATTAATTCATTTTTATAAATTAATTTCCGAGTTCAAATATCTCGTTTTTCCGAGCTCATTTAATTTTGCGTTCCTTTTCCTCTACGAACAAAAGTGAACAAGAAAGTATAGTACATATATTTTTCACCATTCTAAAGAAAGAGGAGGACATAGAAATATGGTCGATATATACGCGTACATTACTTGCAAGTGTTTCTGTTATATTCTTGACAATTTGGATATACATGGCTGATTATTGCTGTTTTTTTCTGTTGTTATCATTTCATGGCTACTTTGATTTACTTCATGATAAAACAAAATTTTTAACTTCTCGTTCGTTGAATTGGCATTTATGGTATTGCAATTGCTATAACCTTAAATATAAAAGACTAATTTGTCGTATTCTTGATATCTGTATCAACTATGAGTGTTTTTACCAGCTGCAAATACATTTTCTTTCACAAAAAAACGATTTTGATACCGAGATGTATTTCGTAGCGAGAATGATTTCATGAGTCGACTAATCTTAAAATCTGACTATTCCCCTTTAATAAGATTTTGAGATTGACGATGATGGTTGATCATGGGAATTTAGTATTCATCTTCATCTGGATGTTTGCCTTAAAACCGTTTTTCTTTTCTGCTAAAAAATTTACTTTTTCTTCTTTATATTTATAAGTAGTTGTTTTTTTGTATGTATGACTGAACGGCCGAGTTGTATGCATAGTTTACAAAAAAGTATGCTTTTTTTAATCGCACAGGGATTTTGACAAAATGCTAAAAGCGTTATACTGAGTGCTTTTCAAATATAAGCAAAGTTAAACGTTGTTTTCTGTTGTTAAAATGAAAAGGAAATTGGCTTAAATGTGGTATTTTTCACGTAATTAATTTATAATGGACGCGTCATTATTTACTTTTCAGAAAACGAAAGTATAACAACCCTATTACGAAGGCCATGACATTTATGCATGATTTACTCGTTTCAGACAATGTTAATAATGAATATGAAAAATATTATTAAGCATTTAAAATAAAGGATTAATCAAAATGCATGTATAAAGTTTTCCTCGGTTTTTTTGTATTCTCCTTATTATTTAATTTTTTTTTAGTCATCTCACCTGAAAGCAAAAGTTCTATATATTATTATATATATTTTTCTATTTATATATATAGTATAGAGAGAGAGAGAGAGAGAGAGAGAGAGAAACATAAATGAAGAAAAATTCATTTCAAAAGTCTTTTTTTATGTATTCATTCCCGTTCATTCGCGCTCTTCTGTGAAATTGATGTCAGGTCAGTGGAATACAGTGTATTGTATATTTTGTGATAATGAATAAAGAAGAAAACCTGTGGCATTTTGTTCTTTTCTTTCTTTATATATGCACAAGTAAAAAGTTGCAAGTATTGTACTCTCATTTTAGTGCGTTCTTGCTGTGGAAAAAAAATATAAATGACTGATTTATTATTGTTTTAAGTTTGAACATAAGGTCTCAAAACAATCTATCTATTTTCCGATCTAACTCACATACACGCGAGAAAAAAAAGCTGTTTTTTCTCAGGAAAAGGAATGAGAAACGCAAAAACAAAAAACAATGTATTTCTGATTTTTTTCACCATCTGCATCATATATTTTCTTTTATTGTTAAGATGAGCCGATCAATATTGGCAAATAAATTTGATGCATCATTTTCAACAACACCAACAAGTGAATCCACTACTATTCATCTAACTACATCTCCAACAGCAACAACACCGGTGATAAAAAAAACACCTTCACCTCGTCGTCTAACACCGAGAACTGCAAATTCAATTAATAATAATAATAATAATAATAATAATCACACTTTACCTCCTCCACCGAATGAAACAACGGCGGCGAATAATAGTACACGTGTAATTAAGCCGATAGCTGTAAGAGCATCAGATACCGTGCCATATAATCTTCGAAGTCGTTCAAAATTAAAATCGAATGATCAAACAAAACTAATACCATCGTTTAATACAAAATTGTCTTTAGGTAAAACGTCAGCAGAACAAGTTTCGACCACTTCTATTGACGATGACTCATTTTCAGAACAGCAAAATAGAATTTCATCTATGTCTGCAACTTCGGTATCGAATGAAACAGTACAACAAAAGTCAGATAAAAAATTAACATCACCACCTCTCACTCGGTCAGCTGCTGCATCGGCTGGTGTCAAAATTGATGATTTAGTTGGTTTATCGACACCTTTGTCGTGTAAATTAACATTATCATATGTGCCATCTATCCAAACAACGACTTGCACGAACACTACAAATACGACTAATAATAATACAAATATAAATGTAATGAAAATCATGCGAAGTCAATCACAACAAGAACAACAAGAACAACATGTCGTTATGACACGTTATGCAACACGCAAACGTAAATGTGAAGATGATCATCGACCATATTTAAATTTATTGAAAATGAAACAGGTATGTTTCTTCCTAATATAAGAATAAAAAGTTTATGTCTTTACTAGCCGGAATTTAACGGTTTCATCAATGATATCATGTTTAACTATTATAATTCTCACATAGTATTATATATGACGATGATCTACACACATATTTTCATCATAAGATGTTATACCTTAACTATACTAAAATCTTATTATAAAAATTTTGACTTGTACTATAAAATAAGTGAAATAATAGTTTCTTATTGTCCTTGTTTCTAGGTATGTGAGGAAAATAATCTTAGTAATGTAATGTTTTTCAACATAAACTTTTATAAATTAGTCTAATCTCTTCATAAATTCATTATTCAATCTAAAAGAATTTTTCTATATATGTGAGACCAGTTTTGAAAGACGTGTAATTTGTGAAAAAAGCGGATGAACTTTTTTATTTATCGGCTTTTTTATTAGTGTTGACAATTCTATGATTAATTCTTTTCGTATTCTCATTGACATAAGATGTCTATGAACTATATATAAAATATAGTTTTTTGCGGTGATAATGTTGTTCCTTAGTATAGTAGGAATAGGTCTACATTATATTATCAAAAAACAAGAAAACTGCTAAATTGGTAAGTGAATGTATGAGATGATGATGAAAATCTTTCCTGTTCATTCTGATTGAATAGTTAAGTGTTCTATAAATTTTTTCTCTTTTTATTTTCTCTTGCACGGAGGGAGAAATTTTGTTTCCATAGAAAGGCAATTATTATTTATAAATTTTTCATTGATTTCTGCCTGTGTGTGTGTGTGTGTGTGTGTGTGTATAATATTAAGCTACGGAGGTGGACAAGTCCAAGTCTAGACTAGAAAATGTTTTTTTTTGACGAACTTCGGGATTTTTTTATCAAGTCTATTTGAAGTGGAAACAGTTAAAATCTACCACATCAACAACGGGATGAGTAGAATTTGATATCAAATTCATTAATCTTTTTTGCGTCAAACATGCATCTAATGTATGAATAAAATTTATTTACCCATTGTATATGATTATAACCTACTGTATAGTGCAGAAATCACTATGAAATTGGACCAGGATTCGGACTTGAGCTTGAGCGTCAGCGGACTTGGACTTAGAAATGGTCAGATCTGCCCACACCTCTGTTAAGCTACCATAATAGATAGCATTTTTTTACATCAAATAAATCACATTCAAGTCGAATTAGTAACAAAAATAAAAGGTGAAAAATTAATACAACATCAAATATACCGTTTTATCATTGACACAATTAGAAAATAGAACTCTATTACAGAGCATGAATACATTTTTTTAAATATGCACAGAACAAACAGCATAATGTTCATGAAATGTATATTGATGTTTAATACTCAGAATCTGAAAAGAAGAAGTAGTTCGCTTATATACTACTAAACGAACTTAAGCTGAGCAAAGAAAAAAATTCGTTTTTGATATACAATGTTTGAAAATAGAGATTACCGACTATAATAGTATGTTAAATTTTGATATCGAAATTATTGATCTTCGTTATAACACATACAATGTAAATTTATTTCATAATTGGCCATCTATTTGTTTTCACATAAATTAAACTTTTTAATTTAAAATAAATACATGATTTTCTGATTAAAAATTAAAGCCAAAACTATTAAACGGAAAGTTTAATATTACCGTTAGAATGCATAAAACATGTTTTAAATCTTATTAAGTTTAGTCGTTTGTAAACACGTAGCATAGATAAATAGTGAAAAAAAAGAAAATTTCTCATTTCATAAAATGTTTGTGCGCGCGCGTGTGTAATAATTTGATTGAAATGAACAAAGTTTGATTATTTCTATTTGTCATTAGTCTCTTTCAAGTGTTGGATCTAACTAATAGTTTCATATTCAATGATTACAAAGTTAAATTTAATAGATGCATCGAAAAGAATATACTTTAATAAATGACAATTTGTAAACATTGCTGTCAGATCACACTTGAATAAAAAGAACTTTACATCGGACTAGTTGAAACATCGTTTTATAATTTGCAAAATAAAAACGTTTCTTACTATACTTTTAGTTTATACTGTGACATTAATAATCAAATATTTTGATTCCATTCATTTTAATGGCCACTCTAAATAAATTTAGAGGTTATGATGATTGGCAGGTCACTTTTCTATAGAACATAAATCATCAGCATAAACGTTTAATGTTTCTTTTACATAAAAACGTTTCTTTATAGTCAATCTATATAAGAACTCCAGTGATAAACTACATTCTCAACATTCTAATAAACTCGTGCTTGTGTGTTGTTTGGAGATATAAAGATATTGCTAAAGAAATTTTGAATAGAACTTTTTGTTATGAAAGCAATTTACGATTATCTCGCATTTTATTCATATATTTTTTTATTTTTATCATTTAGACTCAATCGACATACAGTTTCGGAGAAAGCAATTCTCCAAAAAAGGTAATTAAATTTTAAATTGCAAGCGTTTTCTTTCTTTTTTCTAAAAAGAAATTTTATTTGAGTCAAGAACTTGATTGAAAAAGTTTATAGATTAGTTATGATTTTCTCGTTTCCTCTATAATAATTTGAAAGCAATCAGTACTTTTCCTCAACGGATTACTTTGTCACTTGAGAAGTCAGTCATTTCCACATTGCCATCAAACAATTTATAATGTATAGGAAAGTAATCAATCTACGAATGAAAATTCAGTGTGCACGCAAACAGTCCGGATGCATGTGTAGGTTCAAGTTCATGCTTCAGAAGACTAACATGCTTTTATTAGATGATGGTATCAGCAATTGAGATTACAGAACCAACAGCCATTCTTTTCAGACGAGGCTTTTGACTTTACATCAAGATTATTACACAGAAATGTGCTTGAGAGTGAAATAGAAATATATCGGTACATGAGATTTTCGTGCTAATTTTCCATGAACAATTACGAAATGATGTTTTTACACTGCATGAGAGTTGACTTTCAGTAGTTTACTCAAAAAAATTTTTACGATGTTGTAGATATTTAATATATTAGATGTTCATGAGTTTCCATCTCCTGATGATGATTTGTTCTTAAAAAATGGAAAAAAACCCGAAGCATCGTATATAGCTAAAATAGTGTAGTGAATAAAGTTATACAAGCATTTTTGTCTTGTTCATCACTTTTTGCGGTATTTTCCCACTACTTTTCATCAAAGTTTCAGCAATCACATTTTTAGTCTTATTGGGATATTTGTACGAGATGATAGGCACTTTAAAAGATTATAAAACAGAACTATATTTTGCAACCATGATCAAAAAAGAAAAATTGGAACTAATGTAGAAAATTAGTCAAAAAATAGAGATTGATGTAAAGTTGCATATATCTTTTTATTTCGTAATAAAGAATCTTAAGTTAAGTATCATTAGACAAATGATTTTACATGACCGAGTGGTATCTTTTTTTTTTTGGACGTTTATTTTTGTATATATTTTGAAAAATGATCCTTTCCGACTATTAACTCGATAAAACTAATTATTCTTTCTTATTATAAATTTTTGTTTTATATTTAGATAACACAATCAATGCGTCATCAAAGTGGTCCATTACGTGATCCAGACGATGAAGATAGCGGTTGTGATTATGATTCTCCTGCTCATTCACCCGTTGAATTTACCGATTTACCACCACAACAGTTTGAAGATAGTAATATGAGTTATGATTCTGGCTTTTCCGCTGGTTCCGGTGAACATAAATATACAGATCTCGATATAACTGAAATTGAAAATCATTAAGTATGCATAAATCCATCTCTTCTCTGCGTTTTTTTTTTCTTCTCTTTTTATGTTTAAAAACTGGTGAATGTCCGAGAGAAAAACATCATTTTTACTAAAAACTTCTTTTTTTTTTTTTGTTTTTTAGTTGTCTGTTGTTGTTGGTTTTGTTACTGTGGTTCTTTCTTTCTTCTTTTTCTCTGTCTGACTGTCTTTTTTTTTCAGTATGTATGCTGTTCGTCTATCGGCGATTAAAATAATTGTTAAAGAAAAAAAGATATGTATTATTAACTAACATTTTTCCGAAAAAAAAAAAAGTATTTGAAAGTTGCATACTCTATTGTATTATGATTGTTACTAAAAAAAAATTGTTAATAAAATGTAAAATAATAACGGACGGTAAAACTATATGTGTATGTATATCGAACAGTTCAATTTTGACAATTGATTTGTATTGAGATATAATGTTATACTTTTTTATCTTTTACTTGCTATTATCGTAGACATCTGTTTTCATTATCATTGTATTCTCAAGAAAATTATTGTATTTTAAAATGATCATAAAAATAGGCAAAATTGACAATAACAAATTTCGCTACTTTGATAGTCAAAAATTCTATTGATCATTATATCGTTCAAATTTTCTCAACCTATCAATTTTTGTAATCATAGACTGATATTATCGAAACTTTTATCATAGAACATATTGATTTATTCTGATCATAGAGAAACAATGAAGGCTGTCATCGTATTTTAGTTATCTCTTTTATATAAAATACAAATAAATTTTAGTATTTCTTTTAGCATCAATTGAATTTATTTTCTTATTTATGTAACATGTCTTTTTTTGAGGTTAAAAAAGAACAATACAGAATATGACAGACATTATGAAAAGTTAATGATGTCATTTATTTTGTGCATACTAGACGACAGACGTCAACATAAATTTATTGTAAAAATATCATTTCTTTGATAAATGATTTTTCTCTTTTCTCATTGGTATCATTAAATTAAAAGTATTCAGACAACTTGCACATATTCATTGATGAATTATTATTTTCTTTTTTATATAAATAAATAATAAATGTAGAAACGGTAAAAGAAATACAAACAAACAAATAAAGAAAGAAGAAGAGTGAGCAAAGAAAAAATAATAGAACATTGAAGAAAATAGTCGATAAAAATCTTTTTTTATAGAAGTAATTATCAACATACATAAATTTAATAAAAAGAAATGACTAGATAACAAAAAGTAAACAATAATTGCTTAGTTTTTAAATTTCAGTGGCCATTCTGTAATATCTACTGGAGATCGTATTATTCCATCAAGTAACAATAAAAGAAAATCTGTAAATGGATGTTCAAAAGATGAACTTGAGGATGATGAAGATGATGTACGCAATTTTTCGTCATCTTCATCATCATCATCATCATCAAAACCTAAGAATGCACCTTGACTCTCGTCAATGTTATCAACTTTTAAAGAATTTCTTTTTTCACTATACGGTACAAAATAGTTGCGACGTAAATACAAAGCGATCACAGTTGATTGAGGAAATGTCATTATCTTACGAGAATTACTATCTTTAATATTTTCTCGCAGTTGATCAAGCCAAATTGATGAATGAGATCGATAAAGAATGGCGTAGACCAATCTTGAACTAAACAGAAGAAAAAAAAATAAAATATACAAAAAAACCATCTATGTTCAATATCATCCTTTTAATAGACAATTTTGATTCCAACTAGGGTTGCGTTCCTTTTTAGCGTTTTCTTTAAACGTGAACACTAAAGCACGTTGGCGTTCCTTGAACATGAACGCTAAAGATGACGTTTTTTGAACGTGAACGCAAATGTTCTGGTGAACGTTAACATTATTTTATATGAACGATGTTAATCTTATGTGGAATGAATAGTATTGCAAAACGTTATATAGCAATTTCCGAGTATACCGAGCGAAACAGCGTTCTTCATTACTAGTTATATTTAGTGGAAAATCAAGGCTCATTTGCTCCCAACAAAGGAAATCTCATTGCTATAAGAAAGGAAAAAAGTATGTAGTTACGGAAATGGTTTGAAACAAGTTCGGTTCCACTGCAGGAAAAACTAGTCTCCTGATCAGGAAATCGGTGATCTGTTCTTGGAAGAATCAATGCCTTAATCAGAGAATCAATGGCTATCCTTTTTACATCGCAATAACCTGATCACTGCCCTGAGCAGACCATCTGATCGTTCATTAGAGTTTCTATTGATCAGGTAAGACCAAGTAAAAATATATCATTCTTACTACAGTATAAGAACAGAATTTTATATTTACAGTATGAACATCGTTCGTATAAAAAAAGCTCATGTTCACCAGTGCTTTACCGTTCACGTTCAAGGAACGAAACATGAACTTTTACAGATCTAATTCTAACAACGGTATAATCATTGAATTGAATGACACACATAATTCGTAGTGTTTATGAAGTTATTAGAACTATATTATAGATAAAAATATGAATATTAGGACTTACTCATTTATTTTGAATGATTGTTTAAGAAAATATTTAATACACAAATCATCTGGCTTTTCACATATTAACAATACAATAATAACATTGAACGATGTTGGACTCAAATATCGTTGAAGAAATTGTTCATCAAATTCTTTAACATGAATTGTCGATTGAACAGACGAATTTATCCTGTTTGAAATAGAATAAAAATAAAATATTTAAAAAAACAATATTTATAATCAAAAATTGTAATATTACGTTTTTATTTCATCCGGTGTTAATGATGACTTCTGATTTTCTTGATGTTTGATTTCACTTTCTGATTTTATATTTCTACGATTTTGTTGTTGTTTTGTTGTGTTAAGATGATCAGATCTATATGTGCAAATATCATCGGTTAATAGATCGTAAAAAGAAAATAATTTATTTTTTAAATTTACTTTACCGAGTTTGTTGAGTAGAATCCTTATTATCTTGTCTAGAATACCATATTGTTGCTACAATAATGATTATAAATGCCCAAAATTGATAGGTGAATATAAAATCCGAACTAAAAATAAAACATCAATAATTTTAGAATGTGTATTTTTTTTATCCTTATATTTACATTGATCTTATAAATGCATTTCTTTCCACCCAATAATTCCATTTAGAATCAATAGTATCCATAATTAATTTCAAAATATTCTATGAAAAAAACAAAATTTATTTTAATTATAATTTCTATTATAATTTACTTTTCACAAACCTCATTTTTAGCTATATCATATATCGATGGTAATATACTCTTTCTAACATTATTCCATTTGTCATTCAAATATAATTTTAAATTTGTTTCAATATCTAACAATATTTTATTATTCTTTTGTAATTTTGTCAATGTTGTATGATCAAATAGAATATTTGTATTTACAATTTCAATTGTATTATCAAACCAACGACGAATAACAAAAATCTACGAAAAAAAACAAATAACCTATGTCTTTATGATAAATGTAGATTATTCATTTTTCCTAACATTTTAAAGTACAATGATTCTCAATAAAATGTGAGAATAAAATCATATTGAAAATCAATGTGAAATATCATAATTTTTGGTAGAGTTTCCTATGATGTTATTAATAACGTACCGTTAATTTTTCATTGCTAATGTGATCATGGTTTAATAGGACTTTTGCAAATGCTGGTTGTGTATTTTGATCAATGAATGATAGATGACAATCATGTTGAAGATATATATGTTTAGCTAGTGATATTAAATAGGGACGAAATTGATTAAAAGAATTGTGTTCACCAACGATAAGAAAACATGGCCTAGAGAATAAAAATATTTTCATTTATTATTTGTATATTTAAAATCTACTTAATTTCTTTACTTAGCCGAATTTTTTTGACAAACTAAATTAAAAATATTTGATGATGTTACAGTTGGTAAATATAATAATTGATCATTATCAAATATCTTTTTCACATTTGAATATGTTAATTCGTTCTAAAAGATAAAAGATTAGTAAAATAAACATAAATAATTTAGACATAGATGAAATACGTACATCTTTTAATGTTGATACTGGTTCACTATTTTCGTCTTTAAACAATAGAACAGTTTCAAAAGTAAGCAATTGTTTCATGAAAGGTAATTTTCTAACAAAGTTTTCGGTTATTAAAGCTAAAGAAAATAATATACAAAAAATAAAATGATAATAAAAAGATAACAAAAAAACAATGATCTATTGCTAAAAAAATCTATAAAATGTGCTTTTTTATGGTTCTTTAGAAAATGTTCAAGAAATTATTCGAAGGATTTTGTCTTTTAAAATGAAATATCCAACATTTTCTCTCGCAAAATTTGAGTAAGTCGAACTGATAAGATCCGGTGAACCAAAAATAACTGATCACTTTTTAGATAGTTAAAGGACCCTGGCGGATTTTGAGTCGTGTACCTCACAAGAGAAGTGAACAGAAGCCAAACTTGCTCGAAATCGATAAACCATACAAATCGATAAAAAGTCTCATCTCTCTCCATCAATATAAGGCAGAAACGTCGAATATATCAGCGTGTAGCCCAATACGATATCTACGCAAGTATAGATTGGAAATATTTTTTTTCGCTTCTTGTGACTGGCACTAAAATCGATATAGGTTCAGATGGCTATCGTGACGGCCGATCAGAAAATTGGCTCTAGATCCTGTATGCTGATATGAAAACGAACTTCACTATATACCGTTCGATACGTCTTGAGCTGCTCTACAAAACTGTATACTTAGCTTCTTGTTTCAAGGGGGTTCACCAAATCCGCCAGGATCCTTTGTCTGTCTAAAGCAATATTTCAGAGCTTTATTTTATGATTATTTTTATTTGTTTTCAAAATAAAATGACCACTTACTCTGAAAATACGAGTAAACGCTTTACTCTTTGGGATATTCTCGTAAGTCAAAGACCTAATTCTCGGAATAAGAAAATCCTTAGTAAATTTTTTCAGAAAACAGTGTGGGGAGGTCCCTCCCCCTTACCGGGGCGCCCCTGCATATGTAGCTCAAAAGTCAAAAGTGATCAATTATTTTCGGCTTATTCAATAACTAATGTTATTTAGTACATAATCCTTTCAGTAGATTCGGTTTGATTCAGCTTACACCGATTGAAAACAGCACATTGTATTCTTTGAGAATATTGTAAGCATGGAGTTACATATTTCAAAGTTGGAAATTTGTGTCTTGTTAATAAAATTGTATGAACTTGATTTGTTTGATTGCAGGTAGAAATGTAACCGTAAATATCATCGATTGTATGAAGCTGAAATGAAAGAAGAAACGATGATTCGAAAATGTTCTAACATTTCTTTTCAACTTACTATTCGAACGTAATGATTTACTGGAATCATTTTTCTTAAAAATTCTTTGAGATGTGTTTCCGAGTAATGATTCCCATCAAAGTGATAAACTTTATTTTGGCTGATTCCAACTAGACAAGGATTTTCCATAACGCCTAGTTCATTCGATATGCGTCTATCATGGATATTAAATTCTCCCGTACCAACACCTATTAATATAGTAGAAGTGTCGTATAAATAGCAAAAAAATGAATTCTTTATCGCAAAAAATCAAAAGATCGTTTACCTACATCGTTGAATTGTTTTTCCATTGACCGAAATACTGAAGCTGGTTGTTGACATCGTATACAAAAATTAGTACTACCAAATAAAATATACGGTTTTATATGACTATTTGGTAAAATATCATTGACTAGTTCTCTAAAAAGAAAAATCATGCATAACTCATCCGGTATAATTATACACGGAAACCAGTGATTCAGGCAGGAAAAGCCAACTTCGCCTGGATTTTTGACTTTCTGTTAGCGTTTTCATCATCACTTTTCGCCTGACCTTTTCTTTGGTCTCAGTATAAAGTTGCCCGAGTGTCAAAACAAATCTTAGCTCCGCCACTGGTTTAGCCCTCTCCCTATGTCAAAAATGTCGATTTTCTTCAGATGTGTCGGTATTGAGCTTAACATATGTTTGGATAGCCTAAAGTGTCCTCTTTCGAATGACAGATTTTGGTAACTCCAGAATGGTGAAGTTAGTGGCTATTTACTGATAGCGCATTTATTGATAGCGCTATTTATTGAATTTTGCTTTCAGGTTTAATACAGAAAAATTTTTGTGGAAAACTCAAAGGTCGTTTTTTTGGTTTTTCATTTTTTACAACTAACAAAAACGAATTTCAAAAATCCGGCTCTGTCAGTCACTAGTCCTAAGTAGTTCTCTCACGTTGAAGCCATCCTGAGCTCTCTAGCATCTATGCGGAAAATAAGTTTTTGAAAGTGATAACATCTACTTTTTGACTCTTAAAGTGGCACTCCTCGTGAATCACGGTAGGTGAAAAAAAGAGAAAATTATGTTACTACACATTGATGAGGTTAACATTAACTGAAGCTTTCATCCAGATCGAACTTGTAGTTTCTGAGATAGATTTCTGATATGGAAAAGGATCCTTAAATAGGATGCTGCGTATAATTTTGAAGTCTTTTTGCTGTTCACTTTCCATAGGATCTTTTTTTTACGTTTCTCCCGAAATTTTAATCGTCTTCTTCTGGTCGAAAAACAATCGAAATCCCTGACTGGAAGTAAAATATTCATACCGAGCATTGATTGTTTTCTTCGAACCATGAGGAAAATCATTGAACGTATAAAAATCGCCAAATTGTGAACGAAACATATCATATGGATCACGAAATCCATAAGCACCACGATTTGAATCATCTTCAGATGTTGTGCCATATTGATCATAGTTTGATTTTTTGTTAGAATCACTCAATATCTAAAAGTTATACGAAAAAATATACATGCAAGGAATAATTTTCTAATAAAAAATAGAAAAATTTATTTTAATACAAATCTCATAGGATCTTACTTTATTACATTAATAGGTAGAAACTTATAACAAGGCTTATTAGTATTGACAAACGTCATTTTTTGAGACATACATTAGTCTTCGAATTCTTACCTCATAGGCAGCATTTATCTTTGTGAATTGATCATGTGCATTTGACTCACTATTCTTATCCGGATGCCTGAAATATGCGATAAAAAAGATACATTTATACGGTGAGCAACAGAAAATATACATCGCTTACCAATGTCTTGCTAATTCTTTATAGGCTGTACGAATTTCTTTATCAGTGGCTGATTTTTTCAAACCAAGTACATCATAAGGATTAAAATCTTTGCCACTACTTTCGAATAATGATGGTTGCATAGCAAAAATAATGAAGATTGTTAATAAAAATACATGTGATTTAAAATAAATAATCGAACACATTTTTAATCTAAAATCTTTCAAACATACAAATATAATTTTAGCAGGCTTTCTTTATATGAAATAGTATGGGTATGCAACACATTCAAATAGAATTCTTCTCAGATATTGATTTGGCATAGTGTATTCATTGGAAAAGTGATAAAAACACATTAATTCTTGCTGGTTCGAACAAATTCAAGCAAAAACTTAATTAAACTATAGTAAAAAAGAAATACGTCTCTTGACCGTTTTAAGAGACTTTGGAGCAAAAAAACTAAGAACTTAAATTCTATCTTCTAGTAGAACACAAAGAAAATAATGTCATTTTAATCCTTTTAATAATATTGTGCCCTTCATACTAGATCGAAAGAATTGTATATTGCACGCCTTATAAGCACCGGCTAAGAATAATTTGCTTAACTGCGTACAGTTTGTGGTTTCGTAGAAAACATATGACGCAATTAATTGAATTAATGCACAATATTTTTGATGATACGTATAGTAAAAAAGATGTGAGGACTCGATATGAACTGTTAGTTTATTACACAATTGTCACTGATGGCGTCCCATCGTTATAACGTATCGCGCTTTCTTTATCAGTTTGAAAATTTTCTGTCAGACAGATACACTTTTACAGTTATGGGCAATCGATCATCCACTTGGCAAGAGATAAGCGGAGAAGTGTGACAAAGGAACGTCTTATCTTTGTTATTATCTTTAGGTCACTTAACGTTAAATCTTTAATGTGTCACTCGTTTTTCGCGGATGAAATGACACTATATTCTACACAACAAAACAAGCAAGTAATTGTGGATAACACAAAATGGTACAATTTGGTTACGCTGATAGTCTCTAGTTGAATACATAGCTGTCGCGTCTCATTTGTTTCCACATTTCTTTTACAAAACTTCTTTTCATATATCAGATATTCATCACCTTGAAAACATCAAACGTATTTTATCTTTCTTAAGTTTTCGACTGCTAATTCAGCAAATATTCTTTTGCAACAGAAACTCATCCTTTTAAAACTCTCAACAGGTTACTACTGCCTTATTTATCGTTTACATCCCCCGTCGAACACACTCCTTCCAATAAAATGCTTTATATTCAAACATAAAATGAGTAAAAGCATAAGTATATTTATAGAAATTTTAAAAAACTTCCATAATCTTTCCGGATCAATAAAATTTTCCGTGAAACAGCTTAGAACCGGGTTTTTTTCAATTAAATGCTACTTTATATATAAAAAAAATTATCAAATGATCATATGTCGATGTCGAAACTAGCAAACAGTTTCGATTTAACTGTCCTCTTTCCAAAAAGATATCTCTCAATCGTCTATTGCATGCTGAGCCTTTCACTTATGACCCTCTTACTTTGTTCGTCACACTAGAGAAAGCGAGTTCTATTTAATTATTGACAAATCGATGATAAAACACATTTTGTCAACAAAACACTTGACAAAATAAAAATAAAACGTTTTGTTATACCTTAATTTGTTTCTCATTCTCGCTTCTTAATTTATATTACTTTTCCACTCAACCACACATTTACAGGTACAGTAGGTATTTATTCTGCTCTGGAATAATGATTTGACTCCTTTAAAAAAGTTTAGAAACGATGCGTATAGCGAACGCTGTCCTCTCATTATCTCCACTTAATGTCAAAATAAATCTTAAAACAAGTGAACCAGTAAATTAACAGTAATAGCTCTCGATCGATTTGTTTTTGTTTTATTCTTCATCTTCTTCTTGCAACTCAACCTCAAGTTTGTTATCATCGTTGGATTTATTTTTAGTAGTATCATTTTTTCTTGTTTTTCGTTTCATTTTCTGATTTGTTCCTTTTCGTCGTTGTTGTTTTTTTGTTTTTTGTATCAATTGATTTTCTTTTTTGATTTGTTTTCGTTCATTATCTGACACTAATTTATTATTTACATCCAATAATATTCGAAAGAAAATTCCTCCCACGGTTCGATGTCGTTCGTCACCATTGATTGTCTTTACGCTATTATCATTTGTATTGACACCATTATTTTTTAATCTAACTGCTTCATGAGCAAAATGAAATGAACGTTTACATCCGATTACATCCAAGACACAATGTAACAGTTCATCATTTTTCTCATTATCTAATAATTGTTTTAATTTTCTAAATATAGTCAACAAAGAGCATGAGAACACCTATCAAATACTTCCGTTAGATGTTAGAATTTCTTATGACAGTTAAACAATATACCACATCAGGTTTTTAATGCGCCAAACTATTTCATCCTTTTGGATAGAGTGTAACATCAAGTTTAGCGCCTTTTTGTTAATGATTCTGCTATGATCTTACATAGCATATGGAAGAAGATCAGTCAAATATGAACTTTTAAGACACTACCAATTACATACGTGGGGCTCTTAACTTGCAATTGGCTTACGCACTATTTTCAACTTACCTAAAATCTTGTATTGTTGGTTTTATTTTCTTTTTCTTCTTTATTTTATTTTGTTTTTGTCGTTTTTTTGATAAAAAATCTTCTACGTTCATATCGTCAGGGAATAAATAGGATGAAGGATCTTTTGACTGAGCTATAGGATCATCAATATGAATAATTTCTGATTTATCAGCTAGAGCACCAGACATTATACTTGATAAATCTTGACCAGTTAACATTTGTGTCCAAGAGCGACTGGTTTCGGTGTGCCCATTTTTACGCTTTGATTGTGTGTATTGTTCGTTACATTGATTTACAACAGGTACATTTGTGTCACATTCATCATCAGATGATTCTAATTCCCCTTCGCTCAAATGACTGGTAACATCATGATTTTTGTTCTTTATTGCATCAGTATCATCTTCATCACTCGATTCTTGTGTGCGATGAGCATGTCGATCAATAATATTCATTTATCTCTCGTCTAGAAATAAATAGAAAAAAGATTAAAATAAATGAAAAAATATTATTTCACTCGATCACAGCTCTCCATAACTTTGAAGAAACAGATGCTTACACATCGTTTGATTTAGATTAAGGTCCACGTCCATTCAAAATCAATTAAAATCTCTTCAGAATGTATGTAGTTCCTGTTTTATCAAAAAGCGCATGCGTGGTTAATAATTGTACGTCAGGAACGCAAGATGTTAAGTGAAAATGCTCCGCCTTCGGTTGGTCTTCTGGTCAAAGCTGCAGTTAGATGAGCGACAACTTTCGAAGATAATGAACCATCTGAAACTGACTACAATGACCCATACACAGATAACGATAGTCATGAGGCATAGGATTATTCCTTCCTTCCCAGTGGCATGCAAGAGATCAAAATAACGCTCAATGAATAAATGCTAGAATATTCTATATATACATATGGTTTTGCAGAATAATGACAATAGAACAATAAATCTGGGCTAAAAATATGTCGGGAACAAATAAATACGACGCTTTCTTCTTACTTCAATGTAATCTTCATTTTCTCAACCACCAAAAAACAGAAAAAATGAGAATTGTTTAGCACGTTAAAGGACGCAAAAACACAGAAAAAGTTTACTTTACTGTACTTAGAACAACAGAGTTTATTTCATCAGGACATTAATTAAAAGTTTGAAAAATAATGTTTTTTCCTGAATATCTCGCGATTGCGTAGTAGGTTGTAATCGATAAGTAGTATTTAGTCTTTTTAGTATTTATATTAAATCTAAATAAAAGCAAATAATTATGCCTTTGCCGCTGAAGGGCTGTTACAGAAAAAATTGAACATTCCACTGTAACGGTAAAAGTGTGCTGACAGCATGCAACAAATATGCCAATAGGACGGTAAGAAATTAACTGGCATGCTTTATCCATGTCCTTGGCACACTTTGGTCTCGCCATCAGTACATTTGCTTCATGCTGTCAGGACAAATGTACTATTGGAACCCTTTTACCGTGCCGTTTGATGGCATGATTTCTGTATGACAAAAGCACAGTTTACTGCTACAATTTTTAAAGCGTACTGGAACCGCGTTTTTTCTTTACTACTGTTCTATTATGAAGTCAGAAAATTTCAACGTTGGCGGTCTCTCCCTGCCTCCGCCACCTGTATACAGTGTAGCGGTGACTGTCACAATATCAGGATATAATAACAGTATCACAGTAAAATCTCTAAACAAAAGTTTTACGTAATCGTCAGACTGTCAATACAGCTGTACAGAATTTCATAATAATAAATTCTTATTACTTTAAAGTAATTCTAATTCTATACAGCTGCATTGACAGTGTTACGTTTGTGATAAAAACCGTTACCCAACAGAGAGAAGTTTTACGTAATATTATTACATTTTTATCGTATGTCATTGTTACGCACACACTGCCCCGAAATGTTACGATAAAACGTAACATTGTCACATTTTTAGCATGATATTGTTATACATCTTTTGAGCAATATTTACGGAGAGTGCATCTGTACTGCTGCCATTTTCTGTAGTGCAGAATGTATAATTTCTGATTTATCGACTATAGACCAGTAAACGTGTTACAGAATTCTCCATCGTCAGTAGGAACCTAAATGCATACACACTTTAATAGAATTAAAAACTGACAATCAAATTTTTGTTCTAAATTTTCTCTTGTTATGAAATTTCACTAAACAATCATTGTTTATTTGTTTTTTTTGGAAGAGCAGAAATAGGTCTTGGAACAAGCTGGTGGCTAAAAGGTAATCTCCGGATAGGTGAATATGCCTGTTTACAGTTTGTGAGATGCGTTTCAGACTCTTAAGTAGGCTTTAAGTTATCAATATTGCCAAGTTTATGTACTTAAGCATAGATTTCAGTCAACATTCAGTTTGCTTCAGTGTGTTGTTTTACAGCATTGACTTAAGTCCTGGAGATGTCTCAAGCCAATGCTT